GATCAAATTGCTTCAAATACATTGAATCCGTCCCGAGGTCGATCACCGCCGCTGGAGCCTTCGGACTTCAAACTTCGAATCAGGCTTGCCCATCAGGAAACCGGCCATTCCCGGCACCGCGTACGCCGCCAACATTACTTCGAAACCCCTGACCATCCAGTCAAGCTCGACCGCGCCGACGGACTCCTGCACGCTATTGTCGAAGCCGCGGAACCGCATCGGCTTCGCGTCCTTCAGCCACCTCGCCTTCTGGCCAGTCGCTGCCTCGTGCTTCGCTAATGTCGCCGCGCCGATCAGGGATTTGCAACGCCCTGCGTCTGGCACCGAACGCCCGTCAGAACGGGTCACTCACAGCACCGTGCCCTCATCCGTGGCCTCCGTCTCGGACGCAGCGCCCGTCTTCTCCTGGTCCTGCTGGTTCTCCTTTATCTCGCGCTCCAGCCTCTTGCACCTCTCCTCCTGGATGAGCCTCGCCAGCACTTTAGAGTCGCGTGCCCTCAAGGTGCTGCTGATATAGACGTCCAGGCCATCCTCGCCCTCCATCTGCGCCTGCTCGTCGATCTCCTGCACTGCCTGGACCAGCACCTCCTCGCCATTGATCTTCACGGGCTCCGGGATCACCATCTGCGAGCTATGGGCTGGATGTTGATCCCTGCAGTCCTTGCTGAAATGGCCGACCTTCTTGCATCTGAAACACTTGACCCATCGTCCGCCCGTGTCGGGATCCTGCCGAGTAGGTCCGCCGACGCCACCCTGCCGTGGCTTCCACCCTGGCCTCAGTTCTCGATCCAGGCGCTCATTGTTCATGGCCGTTCGCGTCTGCGCCCACGTCGCCAAGATCTCCACCGCATCCGACTCTTCGATGGGCTCCGCGGCCTGGGCGATCCCCTCTATCTCCTGGGTGACGTCACCCTCGGCGCCCTCATCCTGGTACGGCTCGGGCGGCGGCGGGACCTCACCATCCGCGAACCCCTCCTCCGCCGCGGTCCCCGGGGGGCACCCAGGAAGGCCGCCCGAATCGCCGTGCGCACCCCGTCCACGTGCCAGCTCGGATGCGTTGCTGACATGATCGTCGCTCTGCCGAGCTTCCCCAACTTCGCGCCTCGCAAAATCATGAGCCCCGCGCGACCGGTGGAAGGTCCACACCTTCCTGGGCCAAGCGGGCGAACGCCAGCTGGGCCCGTCTTGTGTAGGCCTCCGTGGTCTCCTGCTTCTGAACGCGGAGGCTGAACCCTTCCTCCATCGCCTCTCCGAGGCGATCCGCTGCAACTTTGTCGAGGAACCGCTCGTCGAGGTGCGCGAACACCACCTCCTCGCCCGACTCGACGCTGATCTCCGCGAGATCCACGTTCTGAACTGCCAGCGCCGCCTGGCCGTCCAACAACGTGTACAAACACGGACCGAGAGCCGCAAAGGGTGTGTTTTTCGCCTTCTGAACCAAGATCGCCGCCTTGGTCAACCTTTTCCACACTCGGTAATCCGACGCACCCTCGTTACAGTCGCCGCTGACATGCTTCTAACTGAAACCACCACCATCTGTCATCGTCGCTGTGGTGGACTCCTGTTGTATCACCAGCTCCTCACTCGCACATCTGGCTCAAGCCACTGCGAAGGCCGTCCGAAAGTGGAGTCGAGTTCGATGCTATCTTTTGCCTGCTGCTGACGGCTGAGAGCGCCCGCTGTGCCCATGGCGGCGCGCCTGTCTGACCCAGAGCGGCTACAGAGCACGTGCACGCACAGGCACACTCACGCACTCAGAGGGGGCTCTCTACACGGGGGGGGGCTGCAGAGGGCCGTGCTCGCAAGCACCCTCTTCATCTCCGCGGGAGGGGGGATCCGAGGCGGGGCGTGACGCATGCCCACCTCGGCCTGACGTGGGGGGCAACGATATGGGGGGACCGTCACAAGGGGGGATGCATCGACCTGGAATCGGCGATACATCGCCGATAGATTGGCGATAGGCCCCCGATGGTGGATCCGCACCTTCCTGGGCAGGTTGTGGCTATCGGGCCCCTATCGACGACAATTGGGCGATTGGGGGTCGATGCATCCCCCCCCCTGTGCCCATCCCCCCCCCGTCGTTGCCCCCGGTGACGCCGCCCTGCGCTGTCGCAGCCGAGCCTCCTCCCACCCCCCCCCCGGGCGGCGCGCGCGCGGGGGCGGCGCCGGGGGCGCAGCCTCCACAGGGGGGAGGGGGGGGCGGCCTCCGAAGAGGGCGGCGGGGGCGGGGGTCCTGGAGGAGGAGGAGGAGGAGGAGGAGGAGGAGGCGGAGGAGTGAGGAGGAGGAGGAGGAGGAGGAGGAGTGGAGGGAGGAGGTAGGAGGAGGGAGGAGAGGGTAGGGGAGGAGGAGGAGGGAGGAGGAGTGAGGAGGAGGAGGAAGGAGGAGGAGGAGGAGGAGCGAGGAGAGAGGAGGAGGCGGAGGAGGACAGGGAGGCTGGAGGAGGGGAGGAGGGGAGGAGGAGGAGGAGGGAGGAGGATGAGGAGGAGGAGAGGAGGAGGAGAGGAGGAGGAGTAGAGGAGGAGGCGGAGGAGGAGTGAGGAAGGGAGGACGAGAGAGGGGAGGAGGAGGAGGAGGAGGAGGAGGAGGAGGGGGGTGGAGAGGAGGAGGAGGAGGAGTAGGAGAGAAGGAGAAGGAGGAGGGGAGAGGCGGGAGCGAGGAGGAAGAGTGGGAAGGAGGAGGGTGAGGAGGAGAAGGAGGAGGATTTGATGAGATGATGATGAGGAGGAGGAGGAGGAGGAGGAGGTAGGAGGAGAAGGAGGAGGGGGAGGAGGAGGAGGAGGAGGAGAGGGAGGAGAGGAGGAGGAGGAGAGCGGAGAAGGAGGAGGAGGAGGAGGAGGAGCAGGAGGAGGAGGAAGAGGAGGAGGAGGAGGAGGAGGAGGAGGAGGAGGAGGAGGAGAGGCAAGGGCCCTCCCAGGCGGCACCGGGGGGTCGGCTGCACGCAGGACGTGGCCCTGGGCAGAGAGTCGTCTGTGGTGCGCAGTTCCTGGGAATGGGAAAGAAGAGCAGCCGGCCCCCCCAACCTTGATCAGGAGGGGGGGGTCGGGCTGAGGGGGCCAAACCCAAGCGCATTTGGCGATCGAGAGGTCCCAGTTGGCCCGCACCAGAGGTCTCTGCGGCGGCGGGTCGCTCTTACATGTACTCGATGGGGCCTTTCAGAGAAAGGCTCTGAAGAACGGGGAAGGCTTCTATAGAGGAGGTAAAAACGGCACAAGCATCAACTTTCGGAGCTCTGTGAGGATTTCTTCGATCCGCGCTGCAACCACCATCCCTGGCGCGCAGAGCGCGTCAAGGGCGGCTCCAGCGCCTGGGGGGCTCCAACGCCGATCCGAGAAATCCGCGCGGAGCTCCGAGAGCTCATGTTTATAAGGCATGTTCTTCCTCGATGGAAGCTGGGAGGGATTCTGAGAAGCGACCCGGCCGCCTTCGAGGCCTCCACACCTCCTTAGAAGGCCTTCTCGCGCTCGGGGTCGTCAATCGTCGTCGTCGATCGTCGATCGTCGTCGTCGTCGTCGTCGTCGTCGTCGTAGGGCCGCCCCCCTCGGGCCCCACTCCCTTCTGCGCGCCGCCGATCCCCACTCCTCATGGCGCGGAGCGCGCCAGGAGGGCGGCGCTGACGCGGCGCCCCAGGGGCGGAACGCCAGCGCCGACCCACGTGCTCGTGCCGTGTGCTAGTCCTGAAGAGGAGGACGACGATGGCGACGGCACGACGACAACGGAGGAGGAGGAGGAGGAGGAGGAGGAGGAGGAGGAGGAGGAGGAGGAGGAGGAGGGAGGAAGGAGGAGGAGGAGGAGGAGGAGGAGGATGAGGGCCTGTGACACGGTATGGCCTCGGCAAGGGCCACACCTGCTCGTCGGGTCGCGGAGGGCAGGAGGGTGGATTGCGATTTAGGAAGTTCGGGGGCACCCTCGCCGTTGTGCACTGCTGTACCCTTGGGTGCTTCTCTTCCTGTCCAATGTTCTTGGCCCGTCGATATCCCATCGTGCACGCACTGGTTCCTTGACGCCGAGGTTGATCGAGCACTGCGCTCCGACTTCTCTTTTTTTCGGACCGCGGCCATCAAGATGCAACGGCTCACGCGAGCCAGCCTTCCTCCAACGCAGGATGAGGATGAGGATGAGGAGGAGGAGGAGGAGGAGGAGGAGGAGGAGGAGGAGGAGGAGGAGGAGGAGGAGGACGGCGGCGGGGACCACGTCGCGAGACACGGCGCGACAGGGACCAGTACCGCCGATGCATCGGCGGTGCGACGCGATCCTCCCGGTGCTTAAGGACCACATGCCAGAAATAATTTCGAGCACCCAGAAAAGTGTCGAAAAAGTGCCGAAACAGAGTCGAAACAGCGTCGAACGAGTGTCTCCCAAAACTCGACACGTGAAAACCGTCGAGTTTCGGTACTGTTCGTGCTCCCACCTCGTCTGCTCGGATCCCACCGGGCTAACGCTGGCCTCCGGGCCGCAGCCCGGGCCTCCGGCGGCCGCCCAGGGCCGCTCCGAGCACCCCCGGACGCGCGCTCCCGGCCTGGGCGCAGGCGGCCGGAGAGCACCCCGAGGATGGGAAGACGCCGAGGACCCACGAAGGCGCCCGAAAACCCCGCGAACCTCGAACCTCGAACCTCGAACCTCGAACGCCGAGGACCCACGCGAACCTCGAGCCTCGAGCCTCGAACCTCGAGCCTCGAAGCTCCATCCGCGGCCCCAAAAGGGCCTCCCTGCATGGGAAGCGGCCCCTGGGAGGGGGGAGCCCGGCGCCTGGGAGCCGATCCTGAGGGGCCCCGGGGCTCGTGGGCGGAGTACGGGGGCGGAGCGCCGGGGAACATGTGCTTTAGTCTGCGGCGCCTTGGCTCCGAGCCGCGGTGCCGAATCGACCTTCGACCCTCGATCCTCCTCCTCGTCCTCCTCCTCCTCCTCTTCTTCCTGCTCCTCCTCCTCCTCCTCCTCCTCGACCCTCCTCCTCGACCCTCCTCCTCCTCCTCCTCCTCGATCCTCCTCCTCCTCGAGGAACAACTGTTTTGGTCTGCGGGGGACGTACTGGCGCCCAAATTGAGCACAGCGAAGGGAAGGGAAGGGCGCGCGGGAAGGGGAAGGGAGGCTGCGGGCGGCAGAGCACGCCCAGAGCGTGAAGTTCTCGTGCGTGTCGGCCGACTTGTCGATCGTCGATCGTCGTCGTCGATCGTCGTCGATCGTCGTCGATCGTCGTCGTCGTCGTCGTCGTCGTCGTCGTCGTCGTCGTCGTCGTCGTCGCCCGTCGTCGTCTTCGTCCGTCGTCGTCGTCGTCGTCGTCGTCGTCGTCGTCGTCGTCGTCGTCGTCGTCGTCGTCGTCCGTCGTCGTCAATCGTCATCGTCGAAGATCTGGGGCTGTCCCCCGCCCGTCCTTGAGGAGGCCTCGAACCTTCACAAAGTGGTCCTCCTTCGCAGTGCGGGCCTTCAGCGCGGCCATCATGAGGACGGGGCTCCCGAGCCTCTTGGCGGCCCTGTCGAGCATCTGCAGGATCTTCTCCCTCAGCAGGGGGGCAGACTGAACGCCATTCCTCCTCTGCAGCCATCCTCGATCCCTTCCCTTCCCCTCCTCATCCTCGCTCCGCGCTGCTCTTCTGCCTCGCTCTCGTCTTCCTCCTTCCTCATTTCTCCTTCCTCCTCGTTCCTCCTCCTCCTCCTCCTCCGCCTTCTTCTTCTCCTCCTTCTCTTCCTCCTCCTCTTCTTCCTCGCTCCTCTTTCTCCTCGTCCTCCTCCTCCTCCTCCTCCTCCTCCTCCTCGCTCCTCTCCTTCCTCCTCCTCCTCCTCCTGCTTTTTCTCCTTCTAAAGCACCTCCTCCTCATCCTTCCCCCTCCTCCTCCTTCTCTTCCTCATGCCGTTCCCCTCCTGGACCTTACAGGAAGCTCACCAACACCACCCTCCCAAAGCCTCCGACACCTTTTCTTGTCTTCGGGACTTCCGCCGGCACTGCCGCGCGCGCGCGAGGTCCAGCAGCACCGGCGCACCAACACGGCGCGGGGTCGTGAAGCGCGAGAGCAATGCAATCGCGGGGGGCAGGGGTAGGGCTCGCACGTGGCCCCCTGAGATTGGCGGAACCGCCTCCTTCAAAAGGTCCACGCCTCCTTGACTACCTACCAGACCACCCCAACCCAACCCGAAGACCCGAATTTCGGGTTGGGAGGGGGGTAAGGGTTCCACATGTGTTTTTTCGATGTTCCCCGCCCCCCCCCACTGGAAATCGAGGGTAAATCTGAGCCTTCGGGTTGGGTTGGGGTGGCTTGGCGGGTGGTGACTCCTTGCGCGGATCCTCCGTCGATCGCAGGAGGCTCCAGTGGGTCCGCCGAGTGCCCGGCGCGCGCGGCGTGCTCCTCTCCGCGGCCGCGCGTCGCCCTGCCTGCCGTGGTCCGAGCTGCGCCGCGCTCCGTCTCGGCCCTCGCCGCGCCGAGCAAGGTAATTTCGTCGACGGTGCTCCAGTCTCAGGTCGGGCGTGCCCCCCTGCAGGCGGATTCTGGACGACAAGTTCACACCACCCCAGGAATACTCCAACATGGTCATAAAAAGGAACAAGAGGTCGTCCCCACACAGCTTTTGGTGCAATTTTTGGACCTTCCTCCTGTAGAGGGACAGGCCCGACTTAACTCTAGTCTCTCCATGTACCATGCTTGGATCTCCTCCTGCGTGCGGACGTCGAAGTCTGGCCAACCAATTTCGTCGGGGACGGCCTTCCGCTCCGCCGGCTCGGCGCTCGAGGCATCCCAAGCCCTGTCTGCACGGATGAGGTCACGCCCATCCTCGTCCATTGTAACGGAAGAGCATCCAGTGCACACCAGCGTGTCACCGTCACAAGCTTCGAACCAGGTCGCCGCCAGCTCCCCTCCACACCGGGTGCAGACTCCCGAAACATCTATTTCGTAGCGGGTGTTATCCCGAAGCGCCCCGGCTTGCACGAGCGATTCAAACTCGGTGGCGGTCATGATCAGATTCGTGCGTTCCTCTGCCAAGTCTGTGTCGGACACCGTGGAGCATACTGAAGACGATGAGGTAGTAGCATTAGCTGCAATGTCTGCGCCCCTCGCGATAGACCGAAACCATTGTTGGATTATCTGCGCAGCTTCCTGTCTGACCTCAGTATGTTCGGCGGAAGCCGGATTCTGAAACAAGTTATCCCCACTTGGCCGCCAATTCAGTGTCAGATCATTGGCAACCAGCGCCTTGGCCATGTCCGTTGGGTAACTCTTGGGTTGACCAGCAGAAACAGATGACGGAGAACATGTTGGGGCATCTGGCCGAAAACACTGAAATACTGCATCCTCAGGGGGCTGATAACCAGAGGAATTGCAGCAAAACTCATCCTGTAATGGAAGCTGCCACCACCCAGAGACGACAGCAAGCACGCCATCTGCTTTAGCCTCCAAATGTGAAAGGGCTGTGCCAGTTGATGTGCCGCATGGGATACCCAGCAACCTTTCAGCCTGCGGTCGCTGATCGGCAACCTGCGAGCACATGCCGACAACGTCGTCACCTCTGAGGCCGAGATCACTTCGCTGGTGAAGTCTGCTACGCCATGAGAGGGTCGGTGTCAAACAAGCCAGGACGCACTCGAGGCCGCTCCATGGGTGGGCTGCGCATCGGGCGGGGCACGGAGGCCTGTTGGGGCTGTAGTGAGCTTCATGCTTGAGCCAACCTTTTCGGACCTCAGTAAAACCTCTGGAGACCACCAAAACGGGGTCTGAAGCATCTGAAAACGAAAACCTCCGACCCCCTTCCCCCAAGCAAAACCACACAATCCAAACAGCTACGCTATGGAAACCGCGGGACACCACCTCCTCCTCCTCCTCCTGCTCCTCCTCCTCCGACGACGACGACCATCTTTGCTTTTCCCCGACTGTCCCTCATCAACGTCCCTGGCCGCACCTCTTTCCCCCTGGACTTCCTCTCCCCTTTCTTTACCTCCCATTATACTTTTTCCTCCAGCTCCAGCTCCTGCTCCTCCTCATCCTCCTCCTCTCCTCCTCCTCCTCCCTCCTCTCCTCCCTCCAACCTCTCTCCTCCTCTCCTCCCCTCCCCCTCCTCCTCCTCTTCTCCTCCTCCTCTCCTCCTCCTCCTCCTCCCCTCCTCCTCCTCCTCCTCCCCCCTCCTCCTCTCTCCTCTCCTCCTCCTCCTCCTCCTTCTCCTCCTCCTCCTCCTCCTCCTCCTCCTCCTCCTCCTCCTCCTCCTCCCCTCCTCCTCCCTCCTCCCTCCTCCTCCTCCTCTCCCTCCTCAATCCTCCTCCTCCTCCTCCTCCTCCCTCCTCTCCTCCTCCTCCTCCTCCTCCTCAATCCTCCTCCTCCTCCTCCCTCCTCCTCCTCCTCCTCCTCCTCCTCCTCCTCTCCTCCGCTCCCCGTCCCTCCGTCTTTCCCCCTCCGCCGCGTGCCTGCCCCCCGCCCTACCCCCCCTTCCAGCCCCATAGCCCCTTTCCTCCTCGAGTCGCCTCCACGCCCCCCTGGTGTAGAAGCAAGAAAAGGCAACACCAACACCAACAGGGCGAGGAGATGCGAGGAGCAAAGGGGGGGTCTCCCTGGTGGTGTTGTCCCCCCCTCTCGCTCGAGACATCCCCAGCCTCCAGCTCGGGGAGGCATCGTGGACCTCCTCGCTGGAGGTGCCCCCCCCCGTGGTGTTGGTGTCGCATCTCCCCCTCCGATGGTGCGAGCCAGTGAGGGAGAACAGCGGTCAAACAAATAAGAAGCTCTGCATCGGTCCATTCCCCGTGCATGTTTTCATTTCGTGCGCTTTTGATTTGCACGATGTTCCTCGATGTTCACCAATGGTTCTCGGCGAGAATACATGCACACGTTCGAACGATTCCGAGGAACAATAAAAGAGCCGCGGGAAGAAGCCGTCAGACGTGGAAGCGGCCCAGGGGTCGGCGCTGAGTGAGGCCCGAGAAAATCGGCCAAGAGGGAAGGACGGAAGCAAATCCGCTCAAAACTGGCCCTCGGCTGGACCCCATCCAGGGGTCGAAGCGAACCGCGCTTGCGAGCTGCGTCCGGCCACGGCGACGAGGGGGCCTTTCTCCCCCAGGGACGTCGCATGCCATCTCGGCAAGGACAAGTCTGAACTGAACACTTCTATGGTTGTTTGTGTGCGTGCTCAAGACGTGTACGTGCACGCGGGCTGCCATGTCTGCTCTGTGCGTATCACGGGGCGCCCTGAGTCACATCAGGCAGTTACGAACCTATTTCTGCTAGATGTGGAAACAGTGATCGATATATCGTGTTCTATCTTGTTGTGTTTTACGACGTGTACCGCCTGGACTTTGAGTGCTGGGAAGCTTCTAATTGTTATTGGTAGCGGAGCCACCAATCCTCGGTGGGCTCTAGCTGGGATGCGGACGAGGACTACAATGGCGAGATGGGGCCGCCAGTCAAGGGCGGCAGTACGAAAGGAGCAGGAGGCAAACGATTGTTTCCGGGACGTGGCAAGGGTCCGACATAAGCCAGTGACGGAGCCGACGGAGTTCGAATACCCAGTGAAGCAAGCGGCACAGAGCTGGATCCACATGAGGTTTCTCGAGAAGACGTAGACACACCGCGGCCACAGACGCGGGACAAGGAGAGAGGCCTCGACGGCGCTCTTGCACAGACGGCGTCACACATCGAAACATTGACAGAACTGAACTACCAGAAGTTCAGGAGGCGCCCGGAGGTTTTCGAGCGACAGCGCCGAGTTCGAGAAAGCACATGTTTGATGGAAGGAGTTTATTTGATCTTCTCTCGTCTGCAGGAGACAGAGTGGGATCTGGTTGAGCCTGTTGATTTGGATCGTCCAGAGTCGGACACACCTTTTGATGTGATGCGTGAGCTGCTGGACACGGATTACTAATTCGACAAGGATATCCTGGAACTGCCAGAGAAACGCAGCAATTTCTTTCATGCATTCACGCGCGAGAAGAATGAAACTACACAGAAGTAGCTTGCCCGACATCAGTTGGATATCAAGAAGCTGGGCCGAAACGAACGCATGCAGCTGCCGAGTAAATTGCTTGGCTGGCATCTCCTGGCGAAATCGGGTATACGGCGCTGGACACATGCCAACGTCAAGACCCACTGTAAAGGATCACTCACGCATGGGAATATCAAGAATGCTTTGCGACATGTTTTCGGTCCTGGCTCCCAGGCGAACGCCGGAGATCTGCAGCGGATCAATTCGAGTTCGACTAGAGACGCCGCGAGTGATGGCGCTTATTGGACAGACTCTCGGGTCGAATAAAAAGCATATGAGGAAGAAACGGTATATTCAATGGGCGATGATGGCGACTACGTGGACGAAGAAGAAGTGCATCTAGGAGAAGACGGTCAACATTTCGCGTGGTAAGATGGAGATGATCTCTACTGCGGCTGCGCCGAATACGTCAGCGAGAGCGAGGCGACAGGAGAGCAGCGTGAAGAAAAGACAGAGGAAACTTTCGCCGCGCACACTGAATCGAGACGACGCATGAGAGATTTGTCCGACAGCCGAGGCTTCTACCCTGTCGTGGCCTGTATCCCCGAGACGGACCTGCAGACGCCGCCGAGAACGCCATCGAGAGCCTCTGCAGGCAAAGGAGGTCGCAGGGGTGGAATCACAAAGGGCAAGGGTAAAAGGACGAGGTGGCAAACGAGGTCAAGGCGCTAAAGGACCACTACGCACGGCTGGAGCGGCGAGAGGTCCACAACGATGCGCCGCCCCACGTTTCGCCGCACCTCGGTTCGCATCAAGAGCGACCTACGCTCCAGGATGAGCGACGCCGGCAGGATCGACTGCAAGTCGAGCTACGCAACAGCCTGGGCCACGTTTCAAACGATACCGACAGGAGACGCTGAGGAGTCGTTCATGGTGGAGGGCCCCCAGCCAAACCGAGGACGACAAGACAGACGACGCGATGGAGGAGGGCGCCAGCGACGGCGTGGAGTTTGCTATGTACGTTGAGGCTGGCATCGCGATTGAGGACAGCGGCTGCACTTTTCCCGTTGTGCGCGATGGTCACTGGAAGAGTTGGTTTCGTATTCTGCGCGAAACGGGCATGACTGCGCGCGTTGACGCGCCATCGGGTGTTCAAGTTTAGCAGCGATAGCGCGCTGCATGCCGCAAGAGAAATCGAATTTCCAATTGTTTTCTACGCACTACCGATGCAGCTGAATGTTTGCACCGTTCCTGGAAAGACCCCGCTTCTCTAGTCTCGTGGAGTTATTGCTGAATGGGGTCCTGTACATGGTAATCGGAACAGCAAGGGGGATTTGTTTGACCACCCTGACCGCGGATGGTTGGATGTGGAGAGTTCGCCGAGTCAGAAGCAGGTGGATTCCGATCTGCTGTCTGGAACCAACTCGGATGGTTTACACGAGCAAACGTGAAGCTACGATCGGAGCGAGAGCTGCCGCTGTGCAGCGCTCCCGCATTGACGACGGCGACGGTCTGGCTTGCGAGAACGGCTATTCCGAGTTCTCTTGCGACGGAGGGCCGAAGGCCAGGGGGGGGGATTATGAACCAGCAGGGCCAGACAGCTATTCATCAGCCAGTTGCTGTCAGTGCTGACGAATATTTGAATGAGCACAGTACAGGGCACGCATGTGTGTGGGAATATGTTTGGCATGATGTTGTGTTTGGCAAGATGTGTGAGTTTTTTCCAGTGCGCTGCGCGCGCCCAGGTTCCTTGTCGCGTGCTCGCGCGGGCCTGCGCTCGCGGGTTTGAACCAGAATGCCTCGAATGCGGAGTCCGAGTGCTGCTGGATGCCGTTCGACACGCTGCTGAATTCCTCAACCAACCGACCGAGGATGTAGACGGAGCCCGTGATGATCTTGATCGCGAACTCTGTAAGTAGCCAAGCCTGCGGAGCCCAGCCAGCCTGGAAGGCCCAAGCGAAGCCAACTGCTCCTCTGTAAACGTGTGCGAGGCCCCACGAGCTCCGCGCCGCCGTCGTGGGAGCCGCCCAAGAGTTCCCCACGCCCCCCGATGCCACGCTCGGGGGGGCCCTCGCAGGCAGAGCCCTCGCCGCTGTCGCCGAAGCCGCCCTCGACGGCGCCGCCGACGCTCTGCAGGTTGCTGTCAAAGCGCTCGGGCCCGTCGAAGTTGGGCGGCGCGCCGAGCTGGTCGTCGTGACGCTCGGGCCCGTCGAAGTAGAGCGGCGCGCCGAGCTGGTCGTCGTTGCGCTCGGGCCCGTCGAAGTAGAGCGGCGCGCCGAGGTCGTGAGAGTCGGGCTCGAAGTGGCCCTTGGAGGCGTCGGGCATGAAGTCGCCCTCGGAGATGTCGAAGATGCCGGGCAACGTGCCCTCGATGTCGGTACTGTCGGTCTGCTGGTTGAATCCTTCTCTGGCATGCACTGAACTGCTGGTTTGTTCACGGTCATGGCATCAAACGCCTTGACGATCGTGGGACGCCTGGGCAGAAACTCTTCGAAATGCAAAGCCGAAGATGCGCCCGGCGTAAAATCCGTAGCCTCGCCGAACTTGGTGGGCGCTACTCCTTCTTCACCTGGGGGGCCAGCGGCAGCGGCGGCAGCGACGCGAGACACCTGCCGATGCTTACAACCGCCGATCCCGTAGACGAAGATGATCCCACAGGAGTCGCAGAGCACGTCGCCCTCGTGCCGCTGGCCGCCGAGAGCACCTGCGAGGGCGACTGGCTCTCCCTGGGAACCGCGATGGAGAGGCTGTG